AAATAAGCAGAAACACTCTTAATCTCTGATCCTCTCCCAGCTCTTTTCTTATCTGTAAGGAACATTCTGCCAATTTTTACCGTTGTTGATCTGAAACTTTCTCTTTGATCACTCTATTCCTCCCGACTCTTAATTTCTTTCCTTTACAATATTCCTCTCTATAAGGGGAATTTTTATTATAATGGAGTCCAGTTCATTAAACAACAAAAGTGTCATCCTCACAATTTGTGCTCTAAATGAAAGGCAAGTCTGGGAATGAAATGGTTGAAGCCAACTGTGCTCCATGTGCAGGAACTCTGCCTTCAGAGAGGAGAAGCGACCAGCCTGAAGCCTGGTCACTGCCTGTGTGTGCCAGCTTCCGTCCTGCCCCTAAATCTTTTTTCTTGGGATCTGGGCAAATGGTCCGCTTCGTTGGTCCTGCCTTCTGCAGGAGCACCATCTTTAATTGCTGCCGACAGCACTTTGTTAAATGTGCCTTGCTGCGGCCTGGCCTTCCTTGCCATTGGTCTCCCATGCCACTGTCTCTGTTGTCCTCTGTCCCAAAACCCTCTCCTTGTGGTGTTGCAAAGGTCGCTGCAAAGTGTAGTTCTCACTCAGCCATTGAAACTGGTTTTCTGACAGCAGCCTTCTCAACTCCTGTTCAGACAATGGAGGAAAAAGGTAGAAAGAAGCATCTGAGATTGTGGAAGGATGTGTGCAAAGTATTACAAATCCAAATCTCCACTGATTCCTGCCAAACTGAAAAAAAAAAAAATGGCGCTGACTTCCGAGTACAAGCTGATAAACCACAGAGAGTGTGCGCAGTCACGAGGAGCCACTGGGAGAGAATCCTAAGAGGATAACCATTGGGAATCCACAAAACCCATAAGGATTTCACAACCCATTTGGACTTCAAGTCTGCAGACTGTGGCTTTAAATTAATTTTGCTTTTATTTCCCAGTACAGCTGTTACTGGATTTTCATTAAAAAGATTTTTTCAGTGCATAATTAGAGATAAAACTTTACGATCCAAGTGTCCCCGAAGGAAATGATTCATTGGCATACACAGTATGCCACACAGTATGCACTACAGTATAATGACCTGATGTCGTTCAAAAGACTTCTTCAGTGTATGTGTGGAAGTAGGAACCTGAAGTAGAAGACAGGTCTGTTGATGTGGGGAGGAAGGTGTAAGGAGGGTTCACCTGCACCCGAGCTAATTAAAATGAGCCAAATGTGTGGGAAGAAGTGGTAAAGTAAATGAGTAACAAATACTAATTTTTCTGTACTGCTGTGTAAAAACTGTGAATTTACAAAACAAAGTCTCAAATATCATCTCTTATCCTTATGGCATGAGATAATGTATATATTCTTATCTCTTTTTCTAAAAGACCTTTAAAAAAATCAGATACAAGAACTTGCAGATTTGTGATCCGTTACAGTAGGTGCATTTTGACATTAATATCCATTTTCGCTTTTAAGTGCTTTCTTCATTGTTAATGTCATATGCACAAAAACTGAACAGACGTTTTTCTTGTAAAAATGATTTCTGTTTTCTCTTTAGTTTCACTAAATCACTCCCCAGAATGATTTCTTGGTTACATTATTTGACCTTTTGTGTTCCTCATGTTGGACACACAAGCTTTTCCACCACCTCACGGCTCCTGAACACAAAACATTACAAACATCAGTTAAGATGCAGCCGTTCCAAAAGCATCGTGAACATCTGAAGCTGATTTGCATTTTTCTAAGGTCTTTTGCAGAAAAGCCACCTATGCTAATGAAAACATATTTTCAATATGGAGATTGCAACTGGAGGTGCAGCCTGCTGTGAACAGTTCAGATTTATTTGGTTAACTGGTGAACAGCTTTGACAAATGACTATTTTCAGTTGGGGGGAAAAGGAGTCTTCAGATTAGCATTGTGTGTCTCTGTGGGAATTGAGCCACATATCCTCCTAGGGTATTTCTGATGAAGCCTGAGGGGAAAAGCAGCCATCTATAAGGAATTTGAAACAATAAAATGATGTTTCCCCAAGAGGAGGTAGGGACCCAAAGACATATTGGTTGTTACTGAAATCTACTCTTAGTTTAGATGCTAACATAACTGAGGGAAAAGGATTGAAGAAAAAGCCTAGAAACCCTGTAGGCTCCAGCAATCCTGCTTTGGGTTTCCTCATCCAATGCATAACACAGTGTAGAGGAAACCACTCTTGCATTCCTCTGGAGCACTGCACAGCTCTGGGGCCCTGCGTGTTTTACTGTTTACAGCAGAGAAGCCCACGCCGCAGCCAGGATCATCAGGATGAAGTGCAGTGGAACAGGGGCAGGATCTGGTTGGCAAAATGTTGGTGACAAGAAGTCAGAAAACTATTAGGTGAGTGGAAATTTGAAGAGAGGCTCTTGGTGCACAGCTGGTTGTAGTACTCTTAGAACAAGGCAGATGTGAACTAGACTTCCCTGTGTACCCAATCCAGGGAAACCACTGAAAATACTTAGGAAGGAGTCACGGTGTGGGCAGGATAAAATTAGGCTGTTTGGTCTCTGTAGATCATTTAACTGAAATTAACCTTATATATTATTTCAAAGCAAAAATATGAAGTACGTGTGATGTGAGAAGTGTGAAGTTTAGAATATTTGTTACTGAGCTTTATTTGTAAGTAGTAGGTCAACTTGACTCAGTTCCTTACAGAATTTTAGGATCTAGTAACTACATGACTTTGGTCTGGCCAAGATCATGGATATTGCCTAAAGCCTTGAGATTATTTTTCTTGGATCAGCTCTAACAGTAGAATTTGAGTGTAAATTGTGCCTTGGCCATGAGAACCAGTCTCTCAGTTGCTGAGCTGGGAGCTCTTTTCCCCCAGGAGAGGGTTGTGTCTGAGCTGTAGACCTGATGGCTGTGGCATTACATGCTGCATGAGATAGCACCATAATCTGTCTTTTCTGCCTCATGCACAATGCAGAGCCATGAATAAGTTGGGAATTAGGAGTTTTCTGTCGTTGGGTGTCTGAATGGTTGGCTGTTCACCAGTACCACAGAGAGATCAGTGACACTAGCAAAACTCTTAAGGAGAAGAAATGAAAAAGTTTGACATGAGAAAGCTGCGAGGCCTTTGGAAACTCAGATGCAGTGATCAAAGCCTTTCTGAATTCCTATTACTAGAACCTGTAAATCATTCAAGATAGGAGTTATGAAGAAATGATAATAGAATTAATAAAATTGAACTTTTAGCCCTAGGAAGCAAGACTGCAGATGACATATAAATAACAAAACATACTGATTCAGGGCAGTGAATTAGCTAATCTCTATTTTTTCCCCTACTAAACCTGAAAAAAAACTGATAGCAGTTAAACTATGGTTACCGGAATTTGCATTACACATAAAACACAACTTCAGGCAGCAGAGCTGCCTGGGATTCTTGCAGAGTAAATATGGTTGGATCTCATGTCAGCCTTATGTCTTGGTGGGATGAAAATCTGCATTTCAGTGTGGATTCCCCATTAGAGAAGCCTGCCTTCCATTTTTGTCTTTTGGAGCACTGGGTATCTTGAGACTCTGAGGCTTGTGTTTCCTAGCTGATGTGAAGCTGACGCTCCTACAAGCTCATATCTGACAGGAAGATGGGTTCTCCCTGAATGTGGATAAAGTCCAGGACCTGGCAGGGAAGTGGGAAAAAGGTTTTCTGAAAGTCCAGCAGAGGGAGCTAAGAAATGAAAGTCTTTTACTCTTAAATATTCTCAGCATTTATAGATGAGGAAAAACAGCGTGCATTATTCTGCCAGGTAATAAATTGGATCAAATTAAACAAAGATGAATATTCCAAAATTTGGCAAATGAGTGTGCCAGATTTTTCAAGCCCAGATTTTTGTTCTGGGTCAACCATATGGTCATTGTCCCTTAGAGCTAGAAGGACAAATGTAATACAGAGGACATCTATATTGCCTGATGATCTTTCTTGGAGTGGAGGCAAAAAGAACAGAATCCAATTGAACTTTGGATCATGAGATTAACTGGCCCATAAATTTTTCTTCAAGTTTTTTTTTCTAATAAGTTAAAGAACGACTTTCCTTAAGGTAATAGTGTTATCCTTTCTGAGAAATGCTGTATTGAAGAATCTTATGACATGCTCATCCATTTGATCCCTAAAGAAAGCAGCCAATTATGTAGAATAGGTAGCACGAAGTTAACTTAACATTAGGTCAGCAAATGGGTCAAATAGATGATTTAGAAATGAAAGGAAGAATTGGCTATATAAAGCAAGGAAAAATAATAACGCAGCCTAGAATCACAATTGTGAAGAGAAATGGAAATGTTTTTTTCTGAAATATAAGACACAAAGTTGAATTCACAATAATTGTAAAAGGAATTGATGAACAGAATCCATTAAGCTCTCAAATAAATGGAATAACCACAGTAATTCTGTACTAATGGTAGAACTTCAGACTATTTCCTCAGTATTAAGTAGAAATGATGGCCAAAACCTAATGTAACATAAGTATCAGTTGAATCAGCATCTCTATTCTTCCCATACTGAATGAAATGATGATTATGGAGTGAATCAGGCTAAAAGTAACTATAGCTTTTTATTTATTTACAAAGAAAGTCCTTTTCAGTGGCCAAGTTTGACTTGTCTGGTGTCTTTCACAGATGAACCCCAGGCTAAGAAACCTTATCTGAAGAAAGCAGTCGGCTATTGGTCGACAAGACTTTCAGTTCAAATGATTGTGGACACTGGTGAACATCGCTGACCCCTGCATGCTTCCGGGAAGATGCATTTGCAGCAGCGAGGTGAGAGCTGATTCTCAGGTCAGAGTCTTCAGCCATCTATCTGGCAGTTTCACTGGGCTGAAATATTTGCTTCCTTATACAAGTATGGTGTCTTTTTGAAGTTCTTGTTTTCCACCGCTAATTTTCATATTGGTGTACGTTTGCAGTACGTAGTGATTACATTCCTCATGGGAAGTTTGTATATGTACATAGCACGTTGTAACTCCTTTTTCAATAGCCTTCCCCGTTCCTTTCCTTCTATCTCTTGGTCATATAACCGGGAGGCACCTTAGGGCTGACTTGCCCCCCTGGGATGTAAGTGAAAATACCTTCGACTGTCTAAAAACTGGGACTTGCAAAGTTAATATGAAGATCTCCACTGCATCTCCCTAGAGCTCTCCAGCCTTAGGTAGTTCTCCGAGTTTCTCGGCCATCACGGCTGCCTGATTCTTCCTGCATTGTCCAGGTTATCTCATGTCACACTTGAAACTGTGCTGTTCAGCTTCTTTTGCAACAAAGTTATTCACACAGAAATGCAGCTCCTCCCCACTACAAAGGCACCCATTTCTGTCTCCTTCCCATTTCTGCTCTCTGCAGGATTTTTCTAGGAGGTCCACTGGCTTCTCCCCTCATTTGCTAAAAATTAAACTTGTTTCTTTTGGGTGTTGGTGCTAAGGGTGATGGGTTGGAGAGTAATGGAGGTGAACTTTCTCAGCTCCTTTGCAAAATACTTTTCCAGTGAAGAAGAGTGTCTTCTAAAATAAATTTTGTAAAAGTCACAGGTTTTAACTGAGAGGTTAAAATGAATGTTTAAAATTCGGGATTTATTTTTTCTTTTACTTTCTTTCTGTCCTTTTTTTTTTTTTTTTTTTTTTTCTGATAAGCTGCTTCTCCATCTTTCTTATGCTGAGAGCAAAAACCACCATTCACAGTCTTGCCACCAAAGAGAATCCAACATTTCCTGAGCTCCTCTGGACTCAAGCCTATTTACATCTACATGTGTGTATCTTCTGGGTTTTGTTCTGTTGCTGGGACACAGATTCAAGCCTTTGAGACCCTCAGCAGTAGGTTACTATTTCGTCAACCATATTATGATGATTTTAACTCAATTATTCGTATCTTGAAAGAATAGCTAATTCCACCAGCATCAAGCTTCATTCACAACCTGGATCTTGACATGTAAAAATGCCCGTTTTAAGACAGAAATAAAGCAGAGAAAAATGTCTAGTAGGAAAACAAGCAGCACAAACAATATTTTTACTAAAGCATTAGTATTGATGGCAAGAAAAATTCCGTCCTTTCAGATTAGCATATAAACAATAATAAAATGTCTCACTGTTTTCCTCCATGCCCCTCCATTCCCCAAAGGTGTCCACTTCTAAACATTTCTGCTTGCAGCTCTTCTGATGACCACAATCATAACTTCCCTGACTGAGAGAGATGAGTAAGCTCTGAACACGAGAGCAGACACGTGCCCGAGGAGGCTTAACCTGAGACCTGGCAGGAAGTCAGTACTCTGGACCTGCCCGCAGAGGATGGTGCTTCTGCTGTAGGCTGCCTCCTCCGGCCCAATTCTCAACTACTTGAAAATCAGTAGAATCATGAATACACCGGTCCTACCCCAAATTTACAAGATCAGAACCTCTACAGGGGGAGTCGAGAAATCCATGAGATGTTTGAACAAGTCCTCTGTAAATCTTGTTGTGTGCTCGATGTTGAGAAGCGCTGCTTTAAAACAGCCTCCTCCCCAATCCCGTATCTTTCACCAGGGATTGGTTAAGGGTGGATGTGTGGCCCTGCTTTGGCAAATGAGGCTTGTTTTAGGGGTTTCTGGGGAAAGAGTTCTTGCTCTTGAAACAGATGGTGGGAAGAACAGGAACTCTGATCAGTCCTTCCTCTGTGACAGTTCCACTTAGAGAGGTGTGGAACTTACTGCCATCCTGTTGTGGCCATGGGGTGAGCTGACATACTGAGCCAGGGAGAGATGAGGGTAGCAAACATCTGGTACGGGCAGTGAAACCCAGGGCCCCCACTGACCATGCCAGAGGCATCCTACTTTGAAGCTAAAAACCAGTTGAGCTCAATTTAGTAGCAAAGTACACTGATAGAGGACTACTTTGGAGCCTTATCCCTGCTCAGGCATGTGGATAAGTGGCTGCAAAGGCCAGCTCTGTGACTCTAGATTGCGGCAGAAAAGTCACTATTACATAAATGGATAAGGTGAAGTGGGTGGGAGGGTCAGCCAATTTACTCTTTAGATACTTGTCAAATCATTTCAAACCTGCTATTTCTGAATCCAAGCCCCTTTCTAGCTCTGCTGGACTGTAGCTTTCTCTTTTTTGTCCCTTTTGCTAACATTTGTCCATTAGTGTAATTCTACCCACTGCTTGGCTCCTAAAAGTTCCTGAAACTCGTTCACATGCTGTTTCTTCCTTGGGACCTCTACTTTTCCTTATTGTTTATTGTCATTTGGGTGGGATTTAGGGATAGCTCAGAGAAAAAGGAGTATGTTTGGCTTGCTGTTTTGAAACAAAATACTGAGACATTTGCTTTTATTGAGAAATTGATATTCACTGCCCCTTGTAACTCATTTGAAAAGAAGAAGATCAGTGTAACCCTCAAGGGACATACTCTGAGACTGTGGGAATGATTCCTCCATGCTATGCAAGATCCTTCAAGATAAACAGGAATACTGTAGTGTGTCAGCTTGGAAAGGGATAAATTTCAGGCTCTCAAGTCTTGTCTGTTTGACCTGCATCTTCCCTTGGAGTATGGGTGAATATCCTTCTCTCTCAGAAGATGACTCAGAAGATAAAAAATTTGGACCCTTTTGCTTTCATAATTCTGTGGCACTGAAGTTTCAGTTGCCCAACACAGATTTTAAAATGTGTATTTTTATTCAAATCGTCAACCGTATGTGTTATCTTTAGATAGATAGCACCTACACTAGTGTGAAACCACTATGGGATCTCTAAGGTCACCCAATGGCATTCTGATTTGGCTATCACTTTCTGACCCAATTCCTTTCAGGCAGATATAATTTTGCTATAAACAGTCAATCTTTCCTTTACTCTTTGGTCCCTATTTAATATGCATAGATTTTCTCTTGTCTCTCTTTTTAAACATGAGATGTGACGTTTAGTACTATTTACTTTATGTCTATTCCTTAATGCTGCTGATATAGTTAATATACGTTAAACCACAGGTCCTGTATAAGGAGGGGCACTTTTTGAAAGGAAGAAAAATCATGCTCTGTTGAAAGCCAGAATACTGAGACATTTACTGGCCAGAACCAAGTCAGTTTACTTCTTTAGCTTTGAACCTCGGATCCTTCCTCTCCAAAAGACTGGAGATTAATCACTGGCAGACAGATTTAGGTAATAAGTCTTGATGAGGGTGTTAGATACAAATGGAAGTGTTGAATGCATAAAGCCAGAGTTCTGAAATGTGAACAAGCACTCCATTTCCATCACTGAGACTAACAACAACCCATGACTTTGTACATTAACTTTAAAAAAAGATACACATTCCTATGAATTTCCTTGTAAAATTTTTACCCATTAGGGACGGGTGGGAAAGTTTTGGTTTCCTTAAAATGGGAATGAAACTAAGATGTACTTTTAAGGCATTCTAGACATAGAGGTTTTTATGATTCCTCTTTCCACTTACCCACATACAAATTCATAGATTTTATAATGACATATACACTCATTCTGTCTTTCCTAAGCCCCTAGATTAGTTTTCATGCAAAGAACTCAGTTTTCTTCTTTGCATTTATGTATTTCATTGGTTTAAGTCATCTATGTCATCATATAATCAGAATAATAAGTACGAATTTCAGCTTGGGGTGCCTTTGTTGAAGAACTGAAATAATCAAGTTAATATACACAATCTATAAAATTCTCTCTCTCTCTCTCTCTCTCTCTCTCTCTCTCTCTCTCTCTCAGTGGTACTGGAGATTGAACTCATGACCCCAGGCTTGCCAGGCAGGCACTTAGGCCACTGAGCTAAATTCCCAGCCCCCAAATTCTCCTGATGGGACTAGAAACACATGCCATCCTACCCGCGGTGAGTGCTGCTGCATACCATCAGGGAGTTTACAAGGAGAGAATTGGAGCTCAGTTAAGAGCATCATTTAAAAAGGAGTCTCTCCGTGCCAGTGCACCGTGTTTCTCAGAGCGATCCTCTACAGGCTGACCACTGAAAGTGTGTGTGGTCTGTGGACTGGCAATGTTACACCCCTTGGAACTGTGCTGGAGATGCTGAATCTTTGGCCATCTCTCAGGCTTCCAGAGTCAGAGTCTTCATTTTAACAAGAAGCTGGATGGTTCACATGCACAAGGAAATCTGAAAATCACCACTCTAGGATTTGCTTTAGGGCCCCACTTCTCATTCATGTTCCTTAACTCACCTACTTCTGAACTTGGTACAAAACAAGCAGGTCATAAATATATGATAATCTTGTTCTGAGAAAATGGAGAAGGCAGTATTTCTGAGAAAGCCTCTGTAGCCAGCTTAGCAGCCACCCAACCATTCAAGGTTTTGTAATCTTTGTTTGCGTTTTTCTTTGCTGTTCTAACAAATTAGAAACTCAGTGACTTAGAATATAGATTTATGCTCTGATTATCATGTCCAAAATTGACTTCACTGGGCTAAAATAAAGGTATTAGCAGAGGTAGTTCCTGCTAGAGAATCTGAAAAAAATAATCTCTTTTCTTTTCTCTTTTAGCTTTTTCCTGCATTTCTTGTGGCCTTCCTTACACCCCTCTCATCCCTGATTCTGTATGCACATATGCTACTTCTGCAGTCAAATTTCCTCCTGCTTTCTTCTTATGAGGACATTTTGACTGTGGTTAGAGCCCATCTGGATAATTCAGGATAATGCCCTCATCTCAAGATCCTTGACTTAATTACATCTGCAAATTCCTCTTCCCATGTTGTGAAATAATAAGACATATATACACTGGTTTCTGTTTCTAGTTCCTGGCACAGAACTCCGAAAGTCTTGAAATTTCTTAAGTGGTATCAGTGCTAGTGCCTTCCTTGTTGTAATATTAGAACAACTCATCTCACTAAATTTGGTCTGGAGTTAGTTCTTGGAGTAGAGCTCTTAATACCCTTGTTATTTCTTAAAATGACAGGAGGTCAGGAGCAACTTTTGTTCCATTATTTTATATTTGATCCTCATTTCTGATGCAGAATGCCTAGATTTCTTGGAATTTTCTAAGTGATAACTGTATTTTGTTTCAAAGAGACAACTTTTGCAGCTTCATACGTGTTCATTTGGCTGCCCCGTCTGTATCCATTATTATACAAAGAGTAGTGAGTCCAAGTGTTCCCTCTTACAAACTATGGAGCCTATGGAGGGCTCGTGTGAACCCTAATCATAGCTGGTTAATCAGAAGTATAGGCATTAATCCTGAATTTGTGATTGATGTCTGAGGTAGAGGCAGTCTTGTAGGACTGGGTTCCTAACCTGTGATACTTGTTGCTGATGCCAGTAAGTGACAGAATTTGACTGAACTGTAGAACACCCAGCTGGTGTTAGAGATTTGGTTGGTGTACAAATAAAACTCTACACATTGATCAGAAGTGAAGTGTTGAGAAGATACAGGAAAAAAACTTTCTTTTTCTATACAAAAAAAGGAGCACATTTTCAGGTTCTAGAGATGTCTAACTTCCATGCAAAACCTTTGGCTCAAAGGTTTGGGGAGCAGAACAATACAGTTGGGGCAGAACAGACACTGCATATGTGGGGACATTGCAATAAATAAAAGCTCCTGTACTCACTCTGTGAAATGATCAAATTCCTCTCAATCATGTGACTTTAATCACTTGTTATTAGTATCATTCATAAAGGCAAAATTCTTGGCCCATAAATATCAAAAAGTGCTTTCTTTGGTGTCCCAGACTCAAAATTTCTGTAGCAAGGTAAGCAAAACCTATTGTTACTTTAAATGTTGTTGGTTATTTTCTGTTACACTTACACACCCCAGATGTTCTGAGATATTTGAAGGTGACCCCGATAGATGCCACTGTCAGACCAATTTATCTTTCAAAATTGTCGAAACGGCAATACTCACAGAGATGACTGCGTGCTTCATACATATGGTGACTTCTAAGAATTTAAAGCCTTTTTTTTGTGAATTAACCTTCTCCTGGATTTTTTCTTGCCTGGTGTGCATGCATCCAGATCTATTCAGGAAACTCCGTGGAAGCAACTTCAATTAATATAAATTCTAGAATAACATTTAAAAGGGTTACATTTTAAATAGAAAGTACAAAAGTCTTAATTGCATTGGTTACTTCAGATTTCATAAATGCTTTTTGCTAACTTTTGCTAAAGTGTGGTGACTGTGTAACCCAAAACTCATTTCCTGCTTTACCATCAGGACAGTCAGACTTTAATTGTTTGTTTTACTTTGAATTTTGTACTTTCTTTTAAGAAAAACACTGTACATTTTATATTTTAAGGATTCTCACTTTTTTAGGGTTTGCAACAACTCTTGGACAATATATAGATTTTTTACCTGATCTGTTGGCAAGTTATATGTACGTTCCATTGCTTTCTGTAAAGTTGAATGACTAATGCATATTCTATTCATAAACAAGATCAGAATTATGAGAAGGAAACAGATTTGAAATGGCTGTGAAAATCTATGTGTTCTTTGCCAGTGGTTTAAAGTGAACTTGTGTGTGCCTGCTAGCGTTTCCCTCCCCGCAGCAAGCCTGGGTTTTTTTACATGTAGTTACTCGATGTGAATGTGAATTTCATATCAGCTATGGAATCAGCTGCCTCTGACACTTCCTGTTCTGGCAACGCCCTACTGAGTACCTTGTGATCTCAGGACAGTAAATGTAGCTGGTGCCAAGCAGTTCGGTCTGTCTGCAAAATACAGTTTTCCAAGTATGGTATTGGATTTCCTTTCTTTGAAACCCCAGGGAGACAGAATCAATTATATGCTTTCCTTTCTGCAATGGGGATCTCTCTCCCTTTCCTGGGTGTCAGGGTTACAATTCTCCCACATCCTATCTGCCCCACCCTGACACACCACTTCCTCTCACCCAATACAGCCAAGCTGATCGAGCTGGGCGTGTTGTTGTTTGCCCAGTGCTCGGCCTTTGAGCAGGCAAGGAAATCAACCTTAAACCTCTCCATAATGTATGGTCCAGAATTAGTCACTGCTTTGAGCTTTGTGCACAGACAGTGCTTTGTCTTTCTCCTTTGCATGACCTTCTGTGTCTGGTCCAGGTGGTCCTGGTGCAGCCTGAGGGCCTTTTAAACAAAGGAGGACAGGGAAAGAAGAGCTTTCTCATTTTCTTTAAATCAGAACAGATAGAACATTTTAACTTGTTAGTTAATTTTTTCTTTAATATTTGAGGCAGCTTCTTAACCTGTGGTTCCGGCTGACCTCAAACTAGCAGCAATCCTCATGTCTCAGCCTGGCAAGGGCTGAGATTGCAAGCACACACCACCAACTGATTCCAGCTTACTTTCTAGGAAATGGACAATTATCTTCCTTTTGCATATGGGAAAAGTAAAGCTTAGAAAAAGTGAACACATGCCCATAGTTGTCACACAGGTAGGAAGCTGAGCAAGTGGGACCTGAACTCAGAAAGTCTGGCTTGAGGCTGCTGGTTCCTACAACACATTGTCATCCTGATTCAGGCTCATGAAATCTCTGGCCTTTTTATATCACCTAAGACCACGTGAGCACTTGAGGACAGCTTTGAAAAGCACTGTGAAAAATGGTTAAGTGCAACTTGGCCGCAAGTCAGTCACCTGGCATGCTGGTCCCCTGTATTGAAACCTGGGGAGATGCTTGCTTTGTCTGCATTTAGCTGCAGACACATGGGCCTGTGCTTTAGCTGAGGGATACCTCAGCGCCTCTGTTCTCCTCCTCATCCTTCTCTTTCCTCTCCTCTCCTTTCTCCTTTTTCTTCTTCTTCTTCTTCTTCTTCTTCTTCTTCTTCTTCTTCTTCTTCTTCTTCTTCTTCTTGCTGTTCTTCTTCCTTTTCTTCTTGGAAATGAGCAAGAGGAAGAGCCAGAAAATTCCATGATGCTGGGCCCAGTGGGAAATAGCGGTTCAGAGAGGAGCTCCTGTTGTCAAATTGTCTGAGAATCCAGCTCATGACAAAAGAGGGTACCTGTAAAGTTGACAGTCTCTGGTCATCTGTGCAGAGAGGCAGAGAACCTCATGTCCTGGGAACGTCCTCAAAAAGGTGAAGCCCTTATTCAGGCCTATGAAGTTATTCTGCTCATTATGGGTTGGGCTAAGCACTGACCACGTGCTAGCAAGCAATATATTCCTGGTTCAGATTCCTTTCTGGATTCCACAGTCCTTTGTATCTGCTTGGTTACTTTGTTGGATCTTAGCCGGGATTCTGCAGGTCTCTGTGATCTGTGTGGGAATGATACAGTGGCTGTTGTACCCAGGGCTCCTTGGGCATTTTTTCTCTGAATGCTTTTCTCAAAGTGATCTCCACTGTAAAGCATAGTCCCACACTCACAGCTCAGAGGGTGGGGACAATGGATATCCACTGACCACTCTACCTGTGGTCCCAGCCTATATGGATGATGGCATTGATGTTTCTATGGCAAAGTGTACCAATGTGGGATGAATGCCCAGTTAGACACACCTAAGGAGATTATGGGGTCCTCCAGCATGGAAAATATTTACCCTGGTCCCAAGGGTGACACCAGGTTATGAGTAACTGGGGGGACTACAATGTCTATGGAATAAAACAAAAAATAAAAACAGACAAAAATCTGTGAATGAGAGAATTATTATACCTAGGGAAGTTAGTAGTCTCAGGGCCATATTATCATCTGTAAGGCAAGAAAACCCTGAAAAAATAGGCCTCTCAAAAGCCTTGGCATGGTGTGTTACCCATAAAGGGATAAAGGGAAGACCAGAATTATGGGGATGTAATGGTCAATCATTTGGCTCCTCTCTGTAGCATAAAAGACTAAAGGAAAATTGATACCAAATGTGAGACCCCTGTATGGAGCTGTTACTATGTCGATACACCATGGGGCCCTGTGGAAAAAGGAACTGGGCTCACTGATATGGTTTGATACGAAATGTCCCTCAAAGACTGGTTTGTTGAAGGTTTGATGCCTGGTGATATAATGTTCAGAGGTAGGACTTAGAGAGTTGGCTGGATCGTGAAGTCACTGACCTTATCAATGGATTAATCCATTGGTGAGTTCATAGCTGAATTGACTATTAGAAAATGGGCCCCAGTTAGAGGAAGTATGCTGTGGAAGTCTCGCCTTTGAAAGGAGCGTCATGTTCCCAGTCTCTTCCTGTCTTTCTGGCTCTTTCCCTGATCTGCCTCCTACTGCCCTAAAGTAGGCAGCTTTTTTCTGCCTTACGCTTCCCAAATGATGCTTCTGCCTTAGAGTCATCCAATCAGGGACTGAAATCTCTGCCATCACAAGCCAATGTAAACCTCTCTTCCTCTAAATTGCATATGTCAAGTATTTTGCCCCAGTGTCAGAAAAGTGACTAATACCCTCCCTAAGGCCCATGCCATAACAATCGCTAGGTGGAGTCTCTTTGTGCTGAAGTAAGGCCACATGACAGGCAGTAGAGGTTAATACAGGGCTCCTTTCACAGAATGAGGTGATCAGGAGGGAGAAGCCATATTTGTCTCAGTCTTGAACTGGACTCACAGTGAACAAGTTGAAATCCCTGAATGGGATATATATCACTTCCTAGCGACTTTATATGCAAAGTTGAACATCTTTTTCCAAGACCACAGGCATAAGGACACAGCCTTCTCTGTCAGCATGAACTGAAATATTGTAAACAGAGTGGGCACAGTTCCTGGTCCTCACCCTGGAGAAATTAGAGGAGGAACAGTGGAAACCCAGGAACTGAAAAGTGGGTGGACAAATCTATTGTGAGGGCCCGTTGATTAAAGTAAGACAACTGAGAGGGTTTTGTAAGAGAAATAAAGGAGTTCCTAATCCTTAAACTATGGGGAGTCTACCCAGTCTGACAAGGGAAACCAGGCTTAGTGAATTCCTGGGAGAAGCAGAGAGCACGGATACAAGTGCTGCCCATCCTGGCACTTGGCTTAGCTGACCTGCGCAGGGCAGCCGGGTTATGGTCTAGGACAACAGCCCACTGTGCACACTGCAGCTGCTGGTTAATATTAACCCTAGTCGGGGACACAGTGCAAAACAGAAGGCCAGTGGGCTACCTGAAGCTTGGAGGGACCTTTGAAAATGACAGGAGTGGGCTACATTTGTTGAGAGCCTCCTTGCTGGTTTTTGTAATAGTTGAGCCAGTGTATGAAGAGTCACATAAACATCTAGAGCAGGTATCTGAAGGACAGTGGCCACCCAGAGCATGATCTAGGAGAGGGAATGACAAAAAGGACTCCTTGCCATAGGGTTTCCCTTAGGGACTTGTGACTGGGTTCAGAGGACTTGGAAGGGAATGAAAAGGTCACTCAATCTTGGCATCTGGTCACTTACGTGTACCTTTGGAGGATCGTGGGAGCTGAGTGCTTGGGAAATGCTGACAAGGAGGGGCTCCTGAAGGACCCCTCTCCTGCAGGAGAGTCATGCACCCTTGAGGATGGAGGCACAGGAATGGGAGAAACTATTCCTCTTCTTCCTTGCTCATGTGCCTTGCTTGAGGTCATCTTGAAACTTATTCCGACAAATCTGCTCTTAGTGCCTGAAACTGCACTCTCTGCTTTGGGGCACTGGAACTCTAGGCTTGGGGGGCTGGAAGAAAAAATAGGCACTGTCACTGCTATAGCCAGTCGGTCTGGGACGGACGCACGTTAGACATATGGACGCGTTCTGGGTGGTTTCATAACTGCCTGACCCTTGGAGGTAAGCAATGGAGGCTTCCAGATCACCCATAGAACTTGTTCCAAAGAAAAGACCCAGCAATTTGGTTCATGTCTGAGGGAGGAGGAGACTCTGATCATGTGGATATGGACACATCTGATACTGGGAAGTGGGTGGGATGGGGGGGGTAAATAATTTCCCTTTTCTTAATCTAGATATAACAAGGCCAAGCCTTAACCGTTGAGCTGCTGGGTCCAGACAGCTGAACTGTGCAGCTGAGGAAGATCATGAGGCGGGTGACCTCAGGAACTCTGTGAGTAGCCTGGAAGAGCAGCTGCCCTTTGTCCAGTGGGAAAACCGAGCTCCCTGCGAGACTTAACTTCCCAGTGTGTTAGGAAGCCGACACGCCCCTGTTCCTAGTCTCCTAAATGCCTAGTCTTTAATTAAGCTTACACTGTTTGATCCTGGAGCCTTGGGGCACAGAGACTGTGATTTCTCTATGTTGCCCAGCTTGGTCTTGATTGCGTGGCTCAAGTGATTTGCCCACCTCAGCCTCCTGAGTAGCTAGAACTGTAGATACATGTCGCCACAGCCAGCTTGAACCTATCATGCTTACTTCTCTTCTGCAAACCTCTTATCTTACCGGCCCCTTTCTATAAAAAGGAGCCCAAGGGTGGGGAGCAGATTCAAGTGGGTCAAACCCCACAGTGCCTCATTTCTGCAGGACACCGAGAGAACACGGCTTGGGTACCCGCTTGCCCCTCAGGCTGTTCCTACCTGAACTTGTAGATGTTTTCCTTGAACCACTACAGATGAGCAAAAGAATGCAAAGTCAAGGAAATAAGTCATTTTACATGATCTAAACTATGCAGTGAATCCCAGCTATTAACACAGTAATCATATTTAGCTGCTACTGGCCCTTCCCCGTTTGGATATTTACTGGACATCTTTAGATTAATGTTTGTCAGTCTCTACCCTTCTCACCAGCCTGCTCTTTCCCTGTCTTCTCTAACTCAGCAATGTTCCACGTTCTCAGGTAATGATCTGTAATTTCCTTTTATTCCTTTCTTGCTTTCACACCATTATCCAGTCCATCAGTAGAGCTGACAGAACTGATTTAAAATATACCTAGAATCTAAGTACTTCTTGTAACCTCCTTGGCTACCACCTCAGCCTTTGCTGGTCCATAAGGTATTTTCTTTTTAAAATTTAGAAGACGATCACCCCATGACTTCACAGGTGGACAGTCTGTGCAGAGAATGTCCTTTTGGATGGATGTGTCTCTTCTCTTAGGCTCTGGGCTCATGCCTAGTACACTCCTGGATTCCAGCCCCAACAAATCTCAAGGGTTGTGATTTGTGCAACGTATCAGCAACAAAACCATGTGCAGTGCACTGCCTGGTCCATATTTGCCATTCTCATTCACCCAGATGTGAGCTCAGCCTCTGATGGCTCTCTCCATCCATCCTTGCCCTCTCCACCATCCATTCTGTTCTCCCGTAGAAGCCATGGAGAGTTTTAAAAGCATGAGTCAAATCAAATCCCTCCTCTGCTATAAACTTCACTCCAAGTAAAAGCTCAAGTCCCGGCCAGATTCTATAAAACCCTATACAATTGGTGTCCTGTTACCTTCATGAGTATGTCTCCAAAAAATCCTCCTGTTCTCAGTTCTGCTCAGACACACAGCTTTCTGGATGTTGCTTGAACATGCTCCTTAATCATCCCACTGTGGTGGCGTTTAGGACTCTTGCACTTGCTCTTCCCTCTGCTGGAAAATTCTTCTACAGGTCTGCCTGGCTCATTTTCAGTTTCTTTGGTTTCTCACTCAGATACCACCTATGATATAAAGCCTTCATTGTCCAGCTATTAAAACTGCTAACCTGGTCCCTATTGACCTGACATTTCTTCCCCACTTCCCACAGTACTTAGCACCATCTAACAGACTATCCTTATTTAATTTGTTGTCCATCTCTTTTCACTAGAATAAGCTTTGTGAAGGGAGAATTTTTGTGTCTTACTGTTGGCTTCAGAGCAGGGCCTCTTCCATCATAAATGAACAATCCACTAGACAGACATTTGTTACACAAATGAGCAGGAGGCAGAATGAACAACTGGAAAATTTGAATGTATTTGCAGGTCAAAAGCTACTTAATATTAATAATTTATAAGACAACCTATGATAAGGTAATGCATATTAATGACCAAAAGGAGATGTTATGTGAGGGATCCCCAATGTATGGTCCTGCTCCATTTGAAAACATCAAGTTCTCCTTATGATTCCTCATAACTACATATCTCATGTAAACAGACATTTCTCTGCTGAACCCCAGGATCTATAGATCAGTCGTCTTCATGACACACTTTCTGAAGCAACAACACCCATCTCAGCCTTCAGATCTCCAGTATAGTTTTTCTTGGTTATGGAATAATTAGATAAAATAAAAGTTTATGGCTGACCATGACCAACATCAGATCCAGTGCTGGGAACTTTGGCAGAGGTGAGGTCATCGATGAGATTCTCTCATTCACTCATAACATCTCTCATTCATAACTGCTCAGGGCTGAGAGGGGCAAGGCCAGGTCTGAAGCAAGGAGTCAGCACCTGGTCCACTGAGCTCACACTGTGTTTGGAGGACAGAAATTTCTTCCTCTTCTAGATTATACTTTTTTCTGTTTTTTTTTTCTCCAATAGGCAAGGGAAGAACAAAACCTATAATGTGTACTTTCTAAATTCATATAAAGATCCAGACTATTAAAATCCAAATGAAAGAGATCTTTACTTACGGTGCATCCAAATGCCAGATGCCAGGTGGGGCTGCTGGCTGAGTGTCCCTGTAATGTGGAACCACGTTCGAATACCCATCAGAGTCAGGTGGGAAATATAGGCCAGTGCCACAGCAGGCTCACATCCATAAACAACTGTGCTTCATCCCAGCATGCTTGACATTAGGTTGCTTTCCCCTGTGCTTTGAAATGAGATGTGGTTGCAAAGTACTAATCTCTTCTTCTTACATCTGTTGTAAGGAAAACAGTGATACATATGAGACTACAAAGACACGAGCTCTGCCTCCCGAGAGTGTGACGGTTTTGGCCAACGTAGTGCATTTGACTCTTGTCTGAGAGGCTCGGCCTCTGCTGTCTGGATTATCAGGTGGACTGTTGGGGTATTTACATCCATGTGTTCAAATAACCCTTGTTAAAACAGTCCCCAACGCACAAGAATAACAATGCTGAAACTTGCTACAGTGTATTTTTATAATAGTCCTATTCTATTGTTGTTGTGTTGTCTTACCATGCCTGACCTATAAATTAAACTTTATAACAGGTATGTATGTATAGGAATAAATATAGTTCATACATAATTCATAGTTTAGCACTATCCAAATCTTGAGTGATCACTGGAGATCTTGGAACATATGTCCACGGATAAGGAGACACCATTGTATACACTGCATGACAACAGCAATTCAAAATTTCTTTATACCTCTTTAAAACCTTGACACAGAATTCTATAAGGATAAAGGTAGCAATGAAAGCAGTACTTGAGAAGTTTGAAATGATCTTGAGACCACAATGCTAAGTAAAAGAAATCTAACAGAGGGTTAAATATCACATAGTTTCTCTTATATGAGAACTCCAAGCTATAAATGATTTAAAGAGTAAAATAAAATAGAGATGATAGGAAACAGAGAGGCAGGCTTCGTGGGTCTGGGGAGAATGGAAGAGAGGGAAGGGGCGGAGTGGTAAAAATGCCCCATGTAGAATATGTATATGTGGGCTGGGGATTTAGCTCAGCAGCATAAGCGCCTGCCTTGCAAGCAGGCAGTCATGAGTTCGATCCCCGGTACCGATAAAAGGAAAAAGACCAAACAAAAAAAAAAAGAATATGTATATGTATCAGTTCCCCAAAAGGAATGCAATTACCATCCATCCCACATATATAAAAATAATGTCCTGTCATCTCAGAGTAGAGCCCAGTTCCTCAGCAGGTGACTCAGGTCCCTGTAGCTCCTACAGCCTCTGGTCCCCTTGTCCTCCAGTCACTCACCTTTCCTGACATTTCCTTGAAAGGGTGCCCTGTTTGAAAGACTAACCTCTATTTCATTTGCCTCTATTGTCCTCTTCTCAGTCCACAATCTTGCATCCGGACTGCTCTCTCTTGGGTCCGATTTCCTGGCCTCTGGCCACCCAGGCAGAGCTAAACACTTTCTGCTCCTATCCTGCCTTGAGCACGTCATACAGTTTCCTTCACACTTGAGGAGGAGGGCAGGCTCCTAAGCATTCAGCTCACTCCGCAGCCAGCTTGCCCTGATTCTCCGTATGGAGGAAGGGCATGAGGGATGCATGGGCGCTGTGCTCAGATGCCTGCAGAAAACCTGCCCTCGCGGCTGCCTGAGTCCCACAGGTCAGCATTCCCCAAACTGAGCCTGCCCGCTCCCTGAAGGGGCACCTCAATCCCCAGGCCCTCATTCTCAACCCTCCTCTCTCTGGGCCTGGCATCTCTACCCCTAAGGTGTCTGCAGTCAGGAGGATGGTGTCTCTTTTTTAATCTCATCCTGATGTCCCAGGGGCTGTCACTGTGCCCTCAGACGGCTCCTGTGTGTCCTTTCCTGAACACTGTGTTGTCCCAAGTTCCGCCCTCCCCTTCCACTTGGACATCTTCACCGCCTCCTTCTGCTCGGCTACCCGCCCCCCAGGGACCTAGCTCTCAGTTCCCCCAGGGAATTTCAGAGTTTTCCTCAAGGCCACCGTGATCTACATGATGCTGCCTATCCAGCCCAACCTGCCTATCCAGTTTCTCTCTCCTCCACTTGCTCACTCATTCATCCTTCTTAGGAATTCTTTCTTGCTTCTTGCAGGTTATTTAATTTGTCTGGAGCCCCCCCCCCTTTTTTTGCAAACTCTTTAATTCATCCATCAAATCTTAGTTTAAAAGATCTTTCCTAAAATAAATATATAAAAGATCATTCCTCCTGGAAGCCTTTGTCCTTCTCCAGGCCCCAGCTAGGCCCCTCCCATAGAGAGCTCCCCCCAGTGCAATCCATTTCATGCTGTATTAGCTGCTCATTTAAATGTCCTTCAACAGCCTGTTAGTTACATGTGGGGAGAGCAAAGAAAGGAGGCAGAAACCAAGTTTATTAATGAGATTTTCCTCCATGTCCAGCACATATTTAGCCCTTAAAAAATGGTTAACATTAATAAGCAAGTAGATGAATTTTAATTTTTGTTATTACAAACGGTAAACTATTTCATTCTTGGTTTTATGAAGGTCAGAGAGGGGGAGCAGCAGTAGAGCATACAGCACTTTTACCCTTGTCTGGGGAACTGACACTCAGAGAAAGCCCTGAAAAGAAGGCTCCTGTGCTAGGCCTTTCCACAACTGCTTTTCTGTTTGCCTGTCTGTGTGTGTATGTAACCCACTTCCCCTATGGGTCACGAGTTTTTCCAAGACTCACAAGAACCCATCCTCTAGAGTAAAGGAAGTTCCCTGTGTATTGTTAAATACCATCTTTAGAGTATTTTCAGAGTTCCTAGTTCCTAGGATTGAAACTGTAAGTGGTATCAAGTTCCCTATGGAGATGTCACTAGTCTGGGGTTCAGGAAGCTGCTTCCCTCCTTTAGGACAGGATAAAGAACAGTATTGTTGGATCAGGAAGACAGTAGTGCAGGATTGCAGGCTCCAAAGTCCCCAAGGAGCTGAGTCAACATTAGAGGAATCCAGCACCGCTTGGGAACCCGAGGTCAGACGGTTGTGTATGGAGTCCCGTCCGTGGCTGTGCATGGAGTTGAATCAGGCTGGAGGAGGGATGGGTTGAATTTTTGACCAATAACATTCCTGTCCTCCTTCTTCCTCTGCTTCCTTAACTGTGGACACCTCCTGCCTCTGGGTTGTTGGGCTTGGCCATGTAACCTGCACTGGCCAAGGGAATTTAAGCAGACATGATAAGAATAGAGGCTCTGCTTATGCACCTTCCATTTCCAAAGAGAATATGCTGCAGGTCCTCTCTGATGCTTTAGCCCAGTACCTGAGTAAGCCTCAGACAGGTTTAGTTTGAGATGGCTATTGGAGATCTATGCAAGGATGCTTGTGATCTGAGGTTCAGAGAGTGGTTTGAATTAGACATATACATTGGAGTCATTGTAGACTCATGACAGTTAAGATCTTGAGACAGTTAATTTCACAAGGTGTAAGCAGGGGTGAGAAAGAGGTGCCACTGACTGAGGCTCAGTTTCCTCCAATATTTAGAACATGGCAGTGAGAAGGGCTTAGCAAGGAACTAGAAACAGAGCAGCCAAAAAGACAGCTGGACATCTGGCTAATCACAGTCCCCGGAGACCGGACGGAGAGAGGGCTCAGGGCCTGAAGAAGTGACCAAATGTGCCCAACACTGATACTCAGCGATAGGAGGAGAGCTGACTTGCAGGTCTAAGGACAGAAAAGTCCTCGATGCCCTTGATAAGAGGATATTCTGTAGTGTCCTAGGGATAAAAACTCCCATAGAAGGGATTCAGGGGAGAATAAACGGAAGACATTTCAAGTATAGATAATTCTTACCACTGTTTTCTTCAGGAACTAAGGAGAGAAATGAGGCCACAGAGAGAAGCAGCCTCAAGAAATTTTGAAACAGATGGGATAAAAAACAAGTTGAATACGGCCGGGGAAGTTACAGCAGGCAGAAGAGAGCCGCAGTGGGAGAGTGATGAAAGCTTGCTTACACACTGAGGCGGCACATGGGTTTGCTTGCTGGCTGGTGGGCAGGAGGTGCAGACATGTTCTCCAGCTGAATAAGTTTTCTTAATGAAACAGGAAGCCGAGTTATCAAGAGTGTGAGCCAGTGGGAAGTGAAGAAGAAAGAACAGCAGAGTCATCCTCAAGAACTGAGGAATGAACGGGTCAAAAATGAATGGCTTAGCTGTAGGTAAGCAGATTGCTCTTAGCCCTTCACATCTACTGTCTAATAAAGCCCCACAGCAGCCCTATAAAGTAGCTTCTGTTATCGGCTCCACCTACAGAAGAGGAAATCGAGATACAAGAAATCTGTCCAAGGTGACACAGCAAGAAACTGTTGAGGTTGACTCAAGGAAACATATAAAGGCCTGGCACAAAGCTGAACTGAACCGAGTCAAAGTTGACTTAATGCTTACATACAGCTACTGATGTGTCAAGCTCTGTATTAACCACTTTCCCGGTGACTTCTTGCAGCGTTGGTAATCACCGATCCCACTTTTCTGATGAAGACATTGAAGTCCAGAAAGATTCAGTTGCTTGCTCAAGGTCGTAGAGGTAGGATGTGGAAAACTCCGATTTGGAATTCATGTTATGGGATTCTACGGCCCATGCCTTGTACCCAATGCCGAAGAACACTGATGTCATTTGAGTCTCAAATGACAGAAATTGACCTATTAGCTAAATATATCGAAACCCTTCCTACCTCAGCTTGGGTTTTCTTGGAACCTTTATCCAGAGCAGGAGGAGAGTTGACTGTGTGGCCTTTATGAGGCAGAAGTTTAAAGCAGGTTAATATTAAACACTTGAACCTTTGGATGCGGAGAGGAGAACAGAATCAAAGTCTACAGTGAGAGTTTTGGAATTTTCTTTTAATTTCCCACAGCCTTGGATCACAAAGCACTCACTCGAATTGTACAAGTAATTAAGAAACTAATTTTCTCAACAAAGTGTGCTCATAATGTATCATCTGCACCGAACAGCCACCCACTTCCTCAACTGCAAGGAAACAGACAGTTAAAAAAAAAAAAGTCGAGAGCCAGCAGTTGTTTATCACAACTTTGCCTCAGTGAGGCCTGAGATTCTTTTGAACAGGAGCTCTGCTTCCCATGACGCACAGCGAAGCGTCAACTGGGACATTTCTTGTAAAACTGAAAGTAAGAGACGTGGGTGCCATCCGTGAGGGACCCTGAGTGCGGTGCAAGGAGAGTCTGGGTGCCCTCGGCAAGTCGTAGACGGTGGGCTTTTCATCTGCAAGGAGGGGACACCTCAAACCTATGACTGCGTGTGAAGCGAGCTCAGGACAGGAAAGGCAGACAGAAGCCAAAGGGGAAGATCAAGATTGCAAGAAAGGCACGGCTTGTGACAGGCACGCCGCTTCTCCTGCGACTCACCCAAGTCAGAAGCAAAATGTCTCTAAAGCTGCCCAGGAACTGGGATTTCAACCTGAAGGCAGAGGCTGCGAAAATAGGTACAGTCCGGGTCTCTGTCTTCTTATGGCCTCTTTGGTTCTTATACTTGAGCACCCACCATTTGCATGTGGGTCTGCTGGGAGCACAGATGCCTAAAAATGGATCTTGCAACAAATCTGAGTTTAGGAGAAAATTTGCATTCAAACTGATATGTCGACTCATGTTTCTGAAATGTTGGTGGGGGTTCTTTTTCATCAAGAGATTGCAGTGGAATGGTGTTCCTTGTTATACAGATAGGAGACACTTTGGATGGTGTTCAATGCTTATAGCATAAAAAAAACTGAGTTTTTCTCTGTCTTGTAGACTCTAGTCATTTTTCGGTGGTTTGAAAAACTCATCTGTATTTTGAATGGATTTCAGTAGGAGCACAAAGACTGGAGTCTTTGGAAGCCTGAGTAAACTCAATGGTGTTCAGTGTTCTGAGCCCAGGGGGTCAAGGCGGGCTGGGAGCCAAAAACAGATAAAGTGGACAGGACAGGAACTGGATGTAAAGATAATTTTAAAGGAACAGAATAAGAAGGAACTTAGAAGGGTTGAAAACAAGATCTATCTTTAGTTAGTTACTGTAAAGGATAATTCAGAGATATATTCTGGCCTCTAGTTCATCCCCTTTCCCTGTAATAAAGATGGCAATTCATTCATTTTAATTTATTATTTAAGTACTACCGTAATATTCTTGTAGATTTCTTCTGTTATTATACTGTTCACAGCAATTAAAGCAGAGAAATTAGAACAAAATATACTTATATAAGCCGCCTTGATGTTAGCTATCGGTAAGTGTTCACACACTGTGTTCAAAAACAACTGTGTTTGTCACAGTTTGGAAGAGTTCTGCTTGGAGTGTGGTTTAAGTTTGGACCTCTAGTTGTGGGCTGGTATATACTAAAGGGGTCTATTGAAAAGTCACACATGGCGAGTGCTGATGATGTAGGTCTAAGGAATGGTTTTATAGAAAACCAAGAGTAATCAGAGAAGCCGCTTCCCTTGTGTACTATGAGGCCTGGCATCCTCCAATCAGGCCGGAGCCATTGTATGCTGAGGTCAGTTCCAACAAAAGGCAATGTTCTTATAAGAAAACCCTTTTTCTCCTGATCGTTGATACAAATGCACTTGGCTACGGCTCATGCTTGTCATAAAAATTCATCTTTAATGTAAGCCTCTACCGCTGTGTTCCGTGGCAAGTGCTCTGCTTCCCTTTACATGCAGTCACTCTGCTCTCTCGCCACCTGTGCTGCCGCAGGTATCAGGAGCTTACTCTTCTTCCGTGTGACAATGGGACGCTCGAGAAAATTAATAGATGATTTTTTCTAAGGCTCCAAAAATTACCACATTAGATTCTGAAGCTTGGAATTAGAGTGGGTAGACTTCATGATTTCTGCTAGTGTTTCTTCAAGCATGAAGCCTTGGCTACCTGTCTAAGAGTTACCTCAGGTGATGGCCAACAATATCAATTCCTGACGCCACCCTGACTTGTGAAATTAGAGTGCCTTGAGGGAGGTCTGCACTATGACAGGCTCCCACCCAATGAAGAGCTGCTGTGGTATCTGAGAATTAGCATCCAACTAGCATGGGACCCGGTGCCTTAGCTGGCTGGGAACGCAACTGTTGTGTGTTGACAGAATAAAGTTTGACTACCAGAAGATATTACTTAGCATTGCTTAATGAATATATAACAATGGTGACATGATGAAATTTATTAGAAACAGTGCTCACTATTCATGCCAGCTACTAGTTTGTTGGCCTGAGGGATTAAAATGTGGTCAAATGTGTTTCATGAGTGTCCTATGAATGAGAATCTAGATCCTGAGCTGAGTCCTCTGTGGAAAGAGAGTTCTCAACACAGACACAGGACCTTAGGTCCCTAGAATTGTGTTCAGGTACAACCATAGGGATTGGCTTAATGGTATGTCAGTGACCTACGTTTTCCCCAGCCTGGGTAGTGAAGACTAGAGCAAGGGTTCTTAGCCTTCACACTAAAGGGTAGGTCATTTTTTTTTCAGGACTAAGGTTGTCCTGTGCATTATAAATTATTTAGCATCATTGTTGACCCCTACTCTACTGGATGATGGTAGCATCTCTCTACCATTACCCATTATAGCAACCAAAAATGTCTCCAGATGTTGCTACGTGCCCCTTGGATGTGAGGCGGGGTTAATATCTTCTCCAGTGGAGAACCACTTCAATAGATGATCGCGACACAGATGAAATTATAAGGGATTGAATTATATGGGATTGAAACCTCGATATCACCTTAGATTCACTCCCTAGCTCAAATTTCAGGAGGATTTTGTTAATATATGACTTCAAAATATACTAGTAGCCTAGAAAAATACCAAGATAGGCACTTGCTGAGGAGCTAACCAGACACTGACTTGCTATGGGGCTCTGGTTTTTCTTGGTAAGCTGTGCTTTCATTTAATCCAGCCTGGGCTGGATAAAAATAAGTCTCTGTGAGCAGGCAAATGGGCTCTGCATTGTACTGCATCTCAGAGAGCTGAAAGGATCCTTCTGGGTGGCAGATGTTGATGTAGTGACAATTATATTCTCTGAGCAGCTCTCAGCCCCTGATGAATAAAGGTGTCACATATCCTGACAGAATCAAGGAGAAGAACATGCCTTCTTTAGATAAGGAACATGGATTCAAATAGGTTGCCTGGGCCGGGGATACAGCTCAGTGGGATGCACCTGCCTGGCAAATGCAAGGTCATGACTTTGATTCCTGGGGACCAAAAACAAAAAACAAGCAAACACAAATGAGGTGCTCCTTTTGAGGTCCACACCTGTATCCTTGCAGAGATTCCATCATTCTTCCTTGTTCAAGAAAACACATGTGTCCCTATGTTATCACTGGCTTGTCCTTAGGAATAAATTAAATTCTTCCCATGAGAGACATGCCTGCAGCTGCCCAGGATGACAGCTTCCTGGGCCCTTGAAGAACAGGAGCTGATGTCATTTCTGGTCTCCCACAGCAGCAGTAGGGTGAGGAGCTACCTCGTGGGTGAGTGAAGACACAACATGTTTTCTGTGCACTCATCCACAAGTCCCTAAGTGAGGTGGATGTAGAATCTGTACCTTGTGTTAGTTTGAGAACCAAGCTCACTGGGAATGACAGAGGTCACTGCAGGGCTGTTTGGTGCCCGTATCTCTGAAAATGGGTCTAATCCGTAGTCAGGAGTGGTCATTTTGTATTTATGTTACTCATATGTCACAGTTTATAAAGCAGCTTCACAGAATGGCCAATGGGAAAGCACGGTGGAGATTCTACAGTGAGTAGGGAATGTTCACGATAGGGGTGGTGGAGAAATTTTAGGGCCCATTTCAAAGACTAAATCTATGATGATGATGATGGACAGGTCACACACGAGACAGTTTAAAAGAAAAGAGCCTCACACGAGGTAGTTCTGTGGCTGACTAATTAAATAAGTCAAAATCAAGACATAGAAAACTGTGAAACGCTGAAGTGAAGCTCCAGATGTGGGCTCAGTAATGGAGCCTAAACAGGACCGGGGAGAGCTGGGGGAAGGGTGGTGGAGAGCCGCAGCACGGCACAGGCCATTTGGAGGGTTCCATTGCAGAAGATAACATGGGAATTTTGCAGAATCCCCAAAATAGAGATATGAAAGTTACACAGAGAAAAAATTCCAAAGTAGGAGAGAAGTCTTGTGATGAGAAAGGTACAGCAGGCCCGAGGGATGCATGGAGCAAAAAGTCTGGTGTCCCGCGCCCCCAACTCTGCTATTGCCTTCCTTTAAGATGTCAGTGTGTACACCCTTCAGTGAGTCTCAGACTGGCCGTGGTTTCCTCACTGATTACTTCATGGGAGAAGCAAAAACCATGTATTTCGCATACCTTCACCATGAGAAGGAATTAAACTGAGAAGTCCCTCTGCTCTGGCCCTCCTCACTCACACACTCATTTCCCCAGTTCTTCCCTGGGCACTGGTCACAGTGTAGACATCACGCCACTGCGAGTTCCTGCCTCTGCTAACCATTGAGAGTACAATGACTGTTACTCCACACACTCAAACAGGGAAGTTCGCGGCTCTGAAGACCACGGTCTTCTTTAAATGTGCAAACCCTGAATGCTTCTGAATTCTCATGATCTGAGTCAATCCTACTCCTTTACCTTTTTTTTTATCAAAAGGATTTGTTCTTACCAAATTATGTAACATCAACAATCTAGACTCTCATGGGAAAAACACTATGAAATTTTCTGGGAAAAAAAAGTGATATCAACAGAAGATTGTCTAAGGGCTGAATCATCCTTTGACCATCCTTGATAAGAATGGAGAAAGCCAGGAGGCATGTGATATAGAAAAACATGCATACACTTGGCCCCTGCTGCTAGTCAACAGTTAATCTGGGGCAAGTTGATTAGCTTCTATAAAGAAGATTAATAACATGGACGCTAAAGGGAAGAAAATCCTTGGCATGATGACATAGATCAGGTGCTCTATGGACACCTGTTTTTATTCTTTACAAACAGTTTTATTGCCAGCCTTCCACCAGACTGGTGGCCGTGCTTGGATTGTATTCTCTTGGTGGCCTCCGAGGACAGGGCTCACTGAGTTATGCTTTAATGTTACTCCTCAGGCTTTTATCTTTTCTGTAAGTAATGATCTCATGAAATCTTTCCTATGTGTTAGAAAAAGAAAAATGAAGACTGAACTGTGCCAGGAGCGCACACGTACAACCGCATGTGAGAAAGTTATTCGAGAATTCAGCGCCCCAAAATAAATTTGCTTCCTTGAAGGAGTGTTTTGAATCCTCTTCCTGATAAGAGGCTGCACGTTACTGTTTTCTTCTTGGTCTTGGCTTCCAGGTTATTTGAGTTAAGTTGGAAGTTTGGTCTTAGCAAATGCAACTGTTTGATTAGTATTCTTCTATTCTTTGCTTTTGATAAAATTTTATGTGATCCTAGGAAATGGTTTTGCTTTGTGAATATAAAAGCCCAATAAGTCTTTTCTTTTAAAAAGAGAGTGCATGCAATTTGCCAACACCCAAGTCCTTAGATATCCTGTGCATAAATTTCATGCTTCTTAGTAGCAACCTAGCGTTA